GAAATGTCCCTTGTGTGGCTGGGTGGTCCCTGGGGACCAGGTCTCGTCGGACCCCTCTGGGCTTTGGTGTGAGCTGAAGCTTTGGGTGCGCTGCCTCCAGAGCCCCATGGCCAGCCCATCACCCTCCCGGTGCTCTGTGTGTGCTGGTGCCAGGGTGTCTGCTGTTACACAGCGTGGCAGTCTTGAGGCGTTTCCCAAAAGCCCACGCTTCCTAACTGGAACTTCCTCCAGACAGTACTAGATCCCAGATTCCCTTTTCAGGGGGCAGGAGCCAGGCACACTACACGCAGCACGTGTCTGATATGTGCTTCCTCTGCCAAGGTGTGCTCAGGATGGGGGTCACTTCTGCACGTGAGTCTCAGGGTTTCTTTTGCAAAACTGACACCCTTTTCTCTGTAAATGTGTAGGTACACTCTGCTGGTTGGGAAACCCCCTTTTGAAACTTCTTGTTTAAAAGAAACATACATCCGAATCAAGAAGAACGAGTATACTATTCCCAAGGTATGGTGCTTCCCACGGGTGGACCCGTCCACCTCGCAGCAGTTCTTGGCCTGTCTTCTGCTGCACCATCCTGTTCCCAGCACTTAGTGGGTTCTCATGTAAAGATGAAATGGCTCTTATTGCAGAGTGCTAGGAAGGGGATGTCTCTGTCAGTGGTGGAGTGAACCTGTAGGGCCAACTTCCTCCTGAGGAGCCCACAGCTCCCCTGTAATCCAGCAAAAATCCGAGCTGGGCTGTTGGCACGTGGAGTTAAATGGGGACATGTGAGCCCACGAGGTCTGGGCCAGGTCCCCAGCTCATCCTGCTGCTGCTGATTCGGTCTTGCTGAAGTCGGTCGACTTTAGGCTCTGTGTGCTGTCAGGAGGCAGCTCTCTGTACCTGCCCAACTCTGTTTCCCCAGGCGAGCGTCCTGCTTGCCTGACGCAGCACAGGACCTCTGCTCCAAGCAGAACTTCCCCCAGGTTGTATATCCAGTGCCTTCGCTGATAGTGTGCGTTGTCCCCTGACCCTTGTCTGCACTCTCGGCCTGTCTCCTCTTAGCACATCAACCCTGTAGCTGCTAACCTCATCCAGAAGATGCTGAGGTCCGACCCTGCCACGCGCCCAACTATCGACGAGTTGCTGAGTGACGAGTTCTTCACCTCGGGATACATCCCCAGCCGCTTGCCCACCAGCTGCCTCACCATCGCTCCCAGATTTTCAATTGCTCCCAGTGGACTTGAAGTGAACGGGCGGAAGCCGCTGACTGCGCTCAACAAAGGTGAGAGCAAGTGTCCGGAGGGGAGACGGGACTGTGGCGCTGGGTGAGAGCCTGCCTGCCCTCCAGCAACGTCCAGAACCGTCAGTGGGGAACGTGGTGCTCCCTCACCCCTTCTCCCAGTTCTTAGGAAAACCTGGAGCAGTTTGAGTGAGGGAGAGAGGTCTCCTCGCTCTTTGCCCAGAACCAAAGCAGGGAGGAAGTGCCAGCACGAGCTTTGTAGCTATATGGTGTATAATGTGTTTCCTACAGCTAGCATAGAAGGTAAATCTGGAGCCTTTAGAAACTTACACCCCAGTCACACCTCCACACGCTTCTCTTTCCTGGCCCAGGACCGGACAGTCCTGCACTAGAGAACTTGCCTGAAAAGGAAGACCTTGCTGGGCTGCGGGAGCTGGGAGATGCAGTTGAGAGTCACTTAGCTGACATGTTACAGCAGCTGATTGCAGTCAACTTGGCCAAGCCTTCCGAGAAGGTGGCAGTGAGGCAAGGTGAGTCTGGGGACAGTCCCACCAGCACTGCCCTTCCTGCGTAACTTGCTTCTCTGTCACTCTGGTGCTGTTGTCTGAAGTGAGAGACCAGCTGAGCTCAACTTCAAACTGGAAGACTGAGCAGGCTTTTGGCCTTGCTTGCTTGCTGGGGTGCACAGGATGCTGTGAAATGTCTTCTAACAATCTCTTTTCCTCTTTGCAGAAGAAGCTGAAGACCCAGCCTGCATTCCCATCTTCTGGGTTAGCAAATGGGTGGACTACTCGGATAAATATGGTCTAGGTAAATAACATGGGGGCAATACTTCAGCCTTGTCTAGTTTCTGAAGAGGCTAGGGGGAGCTTGGGTTTGAGCATTGAACAGGTCTGGTTCTTTAATTGCAGTATTCCAGTGTGCGTGTCCCAGACCACCACCAGGAACATTACCAAACACTCAGTGAATCCAGAGCAGTGGTCACCAGCCATCAGCCCTGGCCACTTTAAGGTGGAAAAAGGTTACCTGCTGCATGAGATGGCTGGCCTCGCTCCGCCTGGAGCATGTGCACCCACTGTGGCAACTAAAGCTGCTTCTGCAGCAGGTCATGCAAGGAGGGAGGAGGAAAAGTGACCCCCAGACCTCCACAAAGAGGGGACACTCTTTAGCCCTGGCAGGGACTTGGTGGGGTGGCTGTCAGGGAGCCCCTAGATCAGACAACCTTCTGCCTCTGTGTTGCACACAACTGGTGGTCCCTTATATTTGAAGGTCAAACGAGAGCTGCCTTTTGAACTAGGTTACCAGCTGTGTGACAACAGCGTTGGCGTTCTCTTCAATGACTCCACTCGCCTTATCATGTACAACGATGGGGACAGCTTGCAGTACATCGAGCAAAACAGCACTGAGTCCTTCTTCACTGTGAGATCCTACCCCTCTGCCTTGAACAAGAAGGTCAGTCCTGGGGACAGGAGCCCTTGCTGGGAGGTGGCTGCTCCTGGTGAGGCTTCTGCCAGCCTTGTTGGGCTTTGGCAGGGTGGGTTCCAGGGAGAAACACCTGAAACTTGGGGTCACTGGCATTCTGCAGGCTCCCTCTTGGCTGGCAAAACATGGCCCTGAGGATAGACACTAGCAGCTCTGTTTCTGGTTGCTCTCTGAGGCTCATTTATGAGCAGCTTCACAGAAATAAGTGCTCACAAGACTTGCCTATGCCCAAGTGTTCGGCAAAGTGAGTCCTGAGTATCGCAGACCGAGTTAACTTTGAGAATTTGCCCAAGTTTGTGCAGTGACACCTCAAGGTCTGAAAGGTGGAGGGAGGCTCTGGGACTGTGGAAGCAGCCCCTGTGCTCCCCACGTAGCAGGGGACACCCTCGGCCTGGCTGCTCACCGCCTTTCCCGCCTGCAGATAACACTATTGAAATATTTCCGGAACTACATGAGCGAGCACCTGCTGAAGGCGGGTGCTAACATCACGCCGCGGGAAGGAGACGAGCTGGCCCGGTTACCCTACCTCTGCACGTGGTTCCGGACCCGCAGCGCCATCATCCTGCACCTCAGCAACGGCACCGTGCAGATCAACTTCTTCCAGGTGAGGCGGCTGCCCCGCGTTTGCCAGGGCTGTAGCTCCAGTTGTGGAAAGAGCCCCGCGACGCGGAGCCTTCCTGGCAGGGAGCAACCTGAGCCAAAACTCAGCCCAGCGATGCGAAGTGCTGGGAGGCTCCGTCCCCCCTTGCTGGCGTGTTAAGCCACGCGGGCCCCCCCTTGCTTGCCAAGGGGCTCTGTCCTTTAGCAGGAGGTCGCCTGCTGCGCAGGCTTCGGGGGCTTGAGCTGGCTGGCCTGATGGATTCGTTCCCCTTTGCGAGCTGTGACTGAATGCTGCAGCGTGGTGTGCTGTCGCCATGCCTCTGGGTGCAGCCGGGATGCCCCGGCTGCCGCCGAGACGGTTCATCCTGCGGAAATGCGGTCCCCACGGGGCGGAGTGCTGGGGGTGACGGGCTGCTCTCTTCCCACAGGACCACACCAAAGTCATCTTGTGCCCTCTCATGGCTGCCGTCACATACATAGATGAGAAACGGGACTTCCGCACGTACAAGCTGAGCCTCATCGAGGAGCACGGGTGCTGCAAGGAGCTGGCCAGCCGGCTCCGCTATGCTCGCACCATGGTGGAGAAGCTCCTCAGTTCAAAGTCTGGCTCAGGCCGGGTGAAATCCTCGGCTTAGACCTTGTTCTTGATGGACTTCACACGTGTGCCAAACTCTCCCAGCTGTGCAGGGGGAGGTCTAGTAGCGTCCCTGCCTGCCCTGTAACCTCCCATCACATAACTGGGCTCCCGCCCCTGGGTATGGTCTAGTTGCCAGAAGGAAGCCCCTGATGCTGTGGGAAGGGTGGTATTCACTGACTGGTACCCAAAGGTTTCTTGCTCCCCATTCCTAATAGAAAGTCTATTTTTTAATTGCATACCCAGGTTGTTTTTTGTGTTTTTTTTTTTCCCTAATTTCCCAAAGCCAAAAGCCTGACTCAGAAAAACAACCTTCTTATTTGAGGCTTCTGGGCCTTCTCTTGAGGGAACAAAGTATGGGGAGAGCAGAACTATCATGTAAATTATTTGTACGTGTCTGTGCTGATGCTCTAAGCGTTTGTTTCCTCTTGTAGAAATTCAGATAAGACATTTAATGTGCCCACGGTGAGACTGAGCAATCAGCCTTTTAATACTGAAACTAATCTCCATGAAACAGACTTTTGTATATTGCATAACTCGATTAAAGTTTGTTTGCTACAGCATCCAGTCCAGTGTGGTTCCCTGGGGCTTGCTGGGAGGAAGCAGCACCTCGCCTCTGCCTTCCCCTCCAAGCAAGAGCTTGGAGTTCCTGCTGCCTCCTTGCTTGCCCCTGCTAACAGCCCCCAGCTGAGCTGAGCCCTGGCCTCGCTCAGCTCCCCTGGACACGGAGCCACAGGGAAATGGGAGCAGCGGCGCATGATAGCAAATGGGGAGGGGGTTGAGGTGGTTTGGGAGGTGCTTGGTGTAAGCAAAGATGGGCCTGGGAGGTGTTAGTGCTGTTTATGTTACAGGTGAGGAGGCTTTGGGGGGGGTACTCACAGCCTTGACTTGCCTTTTCCCCAGCTCGCTTTACTGTGTGACTAGACTTGGCAAGTCACCTACGTTAGCAGGCTTTAGCAGGAGCCCAGTAAGCTCCCTTGGATTTTCTTCCACCCCGCTTTGATGCCAGTGCACAGCTGCTTGCTTGCACCGGTGTGCTCAGACCACTTTATTTTTAAGCAGGGCGAGCTTTTTAGTTTTTATTTTTTTTACAACTTTTTATAGAAAATGCTCTAGACACTACAGTGTTCTGAAACCAAAGCAGGTACAAACCCCTTGTTACCTGTGTAACACAATCCCACACCCCAGCACACAGAGGAATCAGACTGTACAAAATTATTGCTGTTCTGGAGTGGGAACCTTGCTGAGGAGCACCGGCTGCTCCCAGACCCAGCGGGTGCTGCCCTTGGAGGCTGGTGCCTGTGAAACCCGTGCCCACGGGCATGCCATAAACCAGAACAGCCCTGGGGCAGCGGGAGAGGCTGTGGAGGGAAGGGATCCCTGGGGAGAAGGGATTTCCCTGGCATAACTACAGGCTGCTGGTAAACAAAAGGGAAAAAACCTTTTTCTCAGCCCAGCTGAGATTAAAACCTTCATTATCGGAATTGTGCTGCCCTCCAGGGCTGGGGGCAGCCCTGATGGAATCAGCGGGTCCAAGCCCCACGGTGGTTGCTAAAAGCTGACCCACTGTGCCTCTCCAGGAGCTCCTCTGCAGGAGCCTCTCCAGTGTCAAGACTGGTGTACTGGTCCTGGTCCCAGCTGTGCTGAACACACTCAAAGAGCCGCTTTCCCAGGCATGGGGCAGGGGAGGACGCGGGGGCTGAAGCTTGCTGCTCCCTGGTCACCACCCCCCGGGGCTCCAGCCTGGCTGCAGCACCCTGCCAGCTCCCCTCAGGAAAATGCAACATGCATTTTCTCCTTTCTTCTTTTGCCATCACCGCAGAGGTTTTGGGGTTTGTTCTCCAACACAAATGCCTTCAGGCGGCTGAGTCTGACCTCGAGCGTTTGCAAAGGTGGGTGCCCAGAGGGTCCCTCTTGGGCTCCTCAGGAGCCCAGTGCCACCCTACGCCCGCCCCACCGTAACCCACCAGCACGTTGGGTGACCAGTGGGTCCGGGGGTCCCACCTCGCCCCGGCGAGGGGGTGAAGGATGCCGGAGATGGGGCTGTGGGTAGGAGCGGGGCAGGGAGGAGCGGCCGCAGCAGCCTCGTGGCGTGTGTCCCCCCCTCACTCGCCCTCGCCCCCCGGGCCGTGGCAGTAGTAGGAGCGGAAGAGCCGCTCGCGGGCGCAGACCCTCATGGCCCCGTGTGTGTGCAGGAGCAGCCGGGGGAAGCGGGAGGTGAAGTACTGGACAAAGTCATCGGGGACGGAGCCCAGGGCTGCCCGGACGTCGGCTGGCAGCTCGTGGTAGTGATGCTTCTGCAGGAGAGAGGGTGAGGTGAGCGGGGGTGGGCGGTGGGGTGCAGGGGAGCTGGGTGGGGGGGGGGGGCCGTACCTTGTTCCTCATGGCCCGCAGGAGGTCACGCACCGAGCCCCCCTTGTAGGTGCGGAACTTCCTCAGGTCTGGGGAAGAGCAGGAGAGATGCTGAGCGAGGCGGGGCGCGGCCGGGGCGAGGGGCCCCACTCGCCGCCCGGTGCTGCGCGGAGGGGGGCAGCAGGCTCGGGGTGCAGCGGGGAGCCCGGCCCCCGCGCGCTCACCGGTCTGCAGCGGCAGCGAGATGTGCATCCTCCAGTTGGTCCTCACCACCGCCCGCCCCCCCGCCTCCAGCGCCAAGACGAGGGGCCCCTCGGCCGGCTCCTTCTCGATGCGGTCGCTGACGTCCTGCGTGCCCAGGAGCAGGGACCGGGGCCGTTACGGTGCTGGCCCTCGCCCCGTGCCACCCCCTCCAGCAGCAGGGAACAGAGCCGGCGCCGAGGAGGGGACGACGAGGGTTTGACCCCAACCGCAAACCCCCCCCCCGTCCTTCCAGAAGTAGCTCAAAACGAGCACACTGACCTCAACACAGCCATTTCCAGCACGCGTTTTTCAAAGCACACCTACGTTCACCACGCACGCGCTCACCTGGAAGAACTGTAGCTGCTTCTCCTGGCTCCAGAAAAAGGGGTGCGCAAGGACCCCCGGGGCCGAGGGTCGGTGCTGGGGCTCGGGGCTGAGCATTGCTGCAATCAGCTCTCGCGCAACAAGCTTGTCTGGCAGGCGAAACAACACAACGGAGAACCGACCCCCCCGAGAAGGGCCGGGAGCTGCGCCCCCTCAGCTCAGGGCTTCCCCGGGGGGACGGGGCGGTGGGGAAGGGTCTCACCGTGAGCTTCTTCTTGCAGGCAGCTTAGCTGGTAAGAGCCCGACAAGATGTTGGCCTGTCGCCGCAAGCTGTCCCCGAAGGGGTGCTGCCCTCCTGACACCACGTAGTAGAAGATGCAGCCGGCTGAGAAGATATCCACGGCGCACGTCTGCAAAACACAAAGCGGGGGGAGATGGGACCCTCGCAGCAAAGGGCGAGGAAAGCTTTCGCCTCCCCACTTTTCCACTCTTTTATGTGAACGCTTGGTCATTTGCTGCAGAGCTGCTGGAGAATGCATCGCAGCAGGGCTCCTGCCTGCCCCGCTCTCCGGGGTCGGAGAAGCCCCCATCGCATCGGGTCCGTAGCGGGGAGGGGGGCTTCCGAGGCACAGGCAGAAGTCAGGACTTCACAGCCAGACGGACGTGCTGGGGCTGCTGGTGCCTCACCCAGCTCTGCAAACGGACCCCGGCACAGGGTTACGCGGAGCGCGCTGCCAGCACCAGCACGGGGCCGCCAGGGACCAGTACAGCAACTGGCTTCCAGCAGGAACAAGATTCCCTGGGCTAAACAGACGGGCAGAAGCGTAAGGTTCGCGGTGAACCACGGCCCCCTCTGACCTCCCCACCCCGAATTTCCACGGACTGGAGCCAGATGAGAGGCCCTGTGCTGAGCACAGCCGGGCACTGTCCCCGCGAGGGCCGGAGAGCAGGGGGAGTCCTGGCGAGGAGCCCCGGTGCTCTGCAGCTGGGCTGGCCTGGGCTCTCGGAGCTTTTGTCTTAATTGTGCGTTTCGGTCGCACGCCCCGAGGCCGCTGCCAGCGCGGGGGGACTCTGCCGGGGCGGGCTGGAGGAGGACCCTAAGCGGGGGGAGGCATCTGCAGCTCACTGACAGGGTTCTCCTTCGGGGCCTCCTGCAGCACCTCGGGCGCGATCCAGCCCTCGGTGCCAGGGATGCCGGAGCGGAGGCTGAAGCTCTGCCGTCCCCCCTGGAGCTTCTTGCAGAGGCCGAAGTCGGAGATGACGGCTCGGATCTGCCCGTGGCGATTCGGGACAGAGATGAGGATGTTACAGGGCTTCAGGTCACGATGGACTGGAAGAGAGAGCGCGCAGCGTCACCGGCCACTGCGGTGGCAGGGCTGGAGCAGGACAGGGCTCTGCCCCGCTCGCTGCTGACCCCAGAGCTGCTGCCGGGAGCCCGGCGGGACACGCTGCCCTCCCGCCCGCGCCCTGCCCGCTTACCGATGCTGAGGGAGTGGAGGTGGGCCAGCCCGGACATGGTCTGACGCAGCAGAGATACTGGGTCCAGGCTGCGGCGATCGAAACTGGGCTTTTCCACGTACTGGAACCACACAGGGGTAGAGAGATGAACTGAGGCCTGATTTACTGGGGCAAAGAAGGCAAGGCTTGCCAGGAAAGGCTTAGAATCATGGAATACCAGGTTGGAAGGGACCTCAAGGATCATCTGGTCCAACCTTTCTTGGCAAAATTCTCACTTCTCACTAGGCTGACAGGGGTGGAAGGAGACAAGCCCATGCGGAGGCCGTTTGTGCCCAAGGCTTGCCGTTTCCAGGACCACCAGTCGGCATCTATTCCCTCTGCAGCAGACTGCCCTCACTTGTGTGCTTGGACCTCCACAGCTTCAGCAACACTCCTGCTTCAGGAGCGGTAAAAGGATGCTTCTCCTCCCCCACGCCAAGTCTCTCCCCAGCACGGGAACAACCGCCCCGACCGACGCCAAGGGTGGGAGCTGCCCCGTCCCTCCCGAGGGGACAAACGGGCAGGGAACAAGGGCAGGGGCTGGCCTGGCGCAGGGTCAGTGCTGCTGCTGGCTGCTCTGCCTCTCCGAAGCACCTCGCAGCCTGGCCGTGCCCGATCCCACCCCGTCCCCTCAGACTGCTGGGAGGCAGGTTCGGAGCAGGGCTGCACGCCCGTGGCCGGGCAGGAACCCCAGAGAGGGCTCCGAACTGGGGAGCCGCCGGCTGCCAACCCTGCCCTCGGGCATGCACAGGCCCCTGCTCCCACGGGAGCACTGCGCGGCCTCGCTCACGGCACCGGCGAAACCAGATGCGTGTCCCGGGGGACCAACCCGCAAACACGGGGCGGGGGGGACAGCCAGGATTGATCGGCAGCCCCCCAGCAGCACCCCCGCGCCCCCAGGACCGGGCGGGGGGGGGGGGGGGGCTGCGGGCTCACCTCCTGCAGCGTGGCGGAGCAGAGCTCGATGGCGATGTAGTGGAACTGCTTGTCCTTCTCGGTGCAGAAGTAGCGGACGACGTGGGGGTGCTCGTCCGACTCCCGGAGCAGCTGGACCTCGCGGTCCACGAGACGGAAGCACTCGGGCAGGAGGCGCTTCACGGCCACGTCCCGGCCCTCAAACTGGCCCCTGCGTGGAGAGTCGGCGGCCGTGTCCATGCACGGCCCCCCCCAGCCAGAGCAGAGCCCAGCCAGGCTCCGGCTGATGCTGGAAACTCGCCCCTCGGGGTCCTGAGCACGGGTCACCTTGGAGTGATGCCCAAAGACTTGTCACAGCCGTGGACAGGCAGAAATCTCTGCAGCGAGCTGGGAACTGGGGGGGGATCAGGTTCCCCTTTTTGTAGGAAAATAACATCCCTCGCTTTTTGCCGTGTTTAGCGCTGGGGAAAGGTGCTGAGCCAGAGGCAGGGGGGACCCTAGCGGGGGTTAGACCCACTGCTGCTGTGGGCTGCCTGGAGCAGGCAGGACGGGATGGGGAGCACGGGGCAGTGCTGCGAGGGGGGGACCTGCCCGGCACACCGGTACCCGCTTACCGAAGGCCACAAGCCCAGCTCCCCACGGGGGTTTGGTGAGGACCACGAGAAGGGGAAGGTGGCCACCCATTCGCAAAAGCCCCTGAAACCAGCGGCCACCTCCCAGGAAGGAGCTGCCTTGGTGCTGTCCCTGAGGCTCCCAGAGAGAATGAGAGTGGAATGAGGGCAAGCACCCCGGGGTGCCACCCACCTGAAGACAAAGGTTCCTCCAGCTCCGTGGCCCAGCACATCTTTGGGGTTAAAAGAAACTTTCCCAACTACAATCACGTCTGGTTCTGGATCTGCAGAGGAAGAGGAAGACAGCCATCCTTCAGCCTGTAAGCGTTACTCCTATACGAAGGACACCCAGTTCTTTAACCATTGCCTGGGCCCTACTGCTCTTGCAGTTGCTTTTGTAGCCCACGATCATCCAGCAGCAGGTCCTGCATCTCCCCCCGTATCTCAGCTGGGCTGCAGCCCCTCTCATCTCCGGGGCGACTCTGCTCCTGCTTTGGGCTGCACCTCCAGACAGAGCCCCTCGCACCTCGCCTGTCCCCCCCCGCACACACCTGCAGCAGCCGCCGGGACAGCCGGATCCGGGCTGACCACCCCGTTAGCCGGGTCCTTCAGGGGGGCCGAGGGGCTGGAGCTCTGCGAGACCTGCGACGAGCTTCCCTGGCTCAGCCCCGGCTCCCCGGGCTCTGCAGGGACCCGGCCCGGGAGCAGCATCTCCTGCTGCTGCTGCAGGAGCTGAATCTGCTTCTCCAGCTGCTGCTGCTGTACCTCGTGCTGCTTCTGCAGTTTCTGGAACACAAACCACGGGAGCGCTCAGCTCCTGCGCCCAGAGCAGAGCTGGGGCATCGGCAGGGCTCGGCACAAGCCCCGCCGGCAGCACACCCTGCACCGCCTCGGCTCGTTACCACGAGCGTGTACAAGGCAGCGTGGGCACCGTGCAGCTCATCGCAGCCACGGCACCGCTGCTTGCGCCACAGGATGAGAAAAGACCTCGTGAGACCTTGAGAAAAGCCTCTGGGGAGACCCCCCCTGCAGTGCTGGGGCCAGCTCGGGGGCCCCCAACAGCAGAAGGACACGGAGCTGCTCGAGCAGGGCCAGAGGAGGCCACGGAGATGCTGGGGGGGCTGGAGCAGCACCCCTGGGGGGCCGGGCTGAGAGAGTTGGGGGGGGTCAGCCTGGAGAAGAGAAGGCTCCGGGGGGACCTTCAAGCGGCCTCCCAGGGCTTAAAGGGGGGGCAGGGAAGGGGGGGAGGGACTCTGGATCAGGGGGTGGGGATGGGAAGAGGGGGGACGGTTTTACACTGAAAGAGGGTGGATTTAGGTGAGATTCAAGGCAGAAATCCTTCCCTGTGCAGGGGGTGAGGCGCTGGCCCAGGGTGCCCAGAGCAGCTGTGGCTGCCCCCTCCCTGGAAGGGTTCAAGGCCAGGTTGGACGGGGGTGGGAGCCCCCTGGGCTGGGGGAAGGGGGCCCTGCCCAGGGCAGGGGGGGGCACTGGGGGGGCTTTGAGGTCCCTTCCATCCCAAACTATTCCATTCTGTTCTGTTCTGTTCTATTCTATTCTATTCTAAACGAGGGCAGCCCCAGCTCCTCAGGAGCGGTGTTTCTGCGGCAGGCGGTGGGCCCTTCCACCGGCCACCACTCACCGTGAGCAGCAGGAACAGGACTCCGCCGCCCAGCAGAGCCGTGCCGACGCCAGCCACCAGCAGGTCCCAGCTGCTGGCCTCGGGGTACACCTCCGCCTGCTCCCCCGGCGCGGGGTCCGGCTGAAACTGCCCCTCGCTGCGGACAGCCGGCTCCCCGGGGCTGCGCGGGGCCAGAAACTGCAACACACGCCCGGGGCCGGGTGACACCAGAGGGCACTCGGGTTTGGGACCCCCTCGCCACTACAGCCCCGCAAACAGCACCCCCCTCCCTGTGCCACCCCACGCCGGGGACCCGCCGTCCCCCCGGCCCCTTCAGCGAGGCGGCACTGCCCGAGGATCCCCCGGTGCTGAGGTGGGACCCAGCAGAGCTCCGCCACTCACATCATCGAACACGGTCCTGGCGGGAGGAGCCCTGGGGATGATGGTTTCCGTTGTCTTCCTCAGGTTCTCCGGGAAGGCTCGCAGCATCGTCGTGTGGACCACGGGAGGCAGCTCGTGGTGCCCTGCGGCGGGAGGAGAGCGGAGACAACCGTCAGCCCATCTCCGGTCACGGCACCCATCCTGCATCCCCGCAGCGGGCTCGCCGGGCAGGGCTGGCTCTCCTGGGGAAGGGGCGTCACTTCTGATGGGACACAACAAGCACCATCCTGCCCCAGAGGGGGGGGGGGGTGCAGCGGCCAGTGGAGAAGGGCAGAGGGCAAGGTCCCCCGCTCTCAGCACGCGGCTGGCCCTGACCCTGCTCCCCTGTGCTTCCCCTGCCACGACCCCGAGACACCACCCTGATGTCCAAACATGCCAACGCAGCCACAGCACCTGACCGCAATCACAGAGCGAGCTAATTAACGCAGCGTCTGTGTGCAGGGCTCCAGCACGGGTAATTGAGGGCCCTGCTTCAAAGGGTCCCCCCCACCCCCTGGGTGAGGGCAGCCGGCGGCTCTTCCTGGGGAGGGGACAAGGTTGGGCTGAGACGAGCCCCAAGCCAGAGTCACCGCAGTCCCTGAGGGTGAGTCACAGCATCGCTCCCATTTTCCCCGCCGAGCAAAGCGGGTCAGGCTGCCACCCCAAAACACACCGGGCGCTCGGGCTGCCCTCCCCGGGGCACCCTCCGGGAGCGAGGACGCCGGGGAAGCCCGTGCCCGCTGCAGGTCCGCACCTATTAGGAGCCACTGGTTGTGGAGCGAGGCGATGCTGCCCTGAGGGTACTTGACGTCGGTGCTGGGCGTGATCTCGCACTCCCCCGACTCTCTCATGGTCACGTCGTCCGTGGTGGGGCCGTCGATCCTGGCCAGCGTGATGCCCTGCGGCTGGGGGGGGCCGGCAGCGCATGGAGCGGCGCGCGGCCGGGGCCAGCGCCCGCCGCGGCTCACCCCGAACGGGGACAGTGGGGACACTCACCACCAGAGCCACGCTGCCGTGGACCAGGGAGGTCGAGGCGTAGAAGCTGGCCGCATGCTTCCCCACGTAGAGAGCTGGCCTGCAAGGCAGGGGACAGGCATCAGCCTTCCGTCCATCACACGGATCAGGGCGGCCGAGCACCGGCGACGCAAATGCCACCGGCTGCCGCGGCACCAGAGCCACCCACAGCAGCTGGGTCTTGGTGGCGGCGAAGCCCTTCGTGGACTGGTAGCTCCACTTGAGGAGGTGGATGTCCTGCGACTGGAAGGTGAGGTAGCGCAGGGTCTCCATGGCCAGGTTGAGGTGGGGGACGCGGCGGAGGCTGTCCTGGTGCCACACGTAGATGCCGACCACGGGCGAGCCGTAATTCTGCGCCCACAGGACCTCCCCACTCTCCTTGTCCAGCGTCACCACCAGCCCGTCCCCGCTCGAGGCGAAGTGTGCCATCTCTAGGCAGAGCCAGAGGGAGGGGGAGATGCAGCTGTGCCGGCCGTGGGGCTTTGTCCCCCTGTGCTCCCCCCAGTCCCGCCACCGGCCGTGGGCTGTTGCCTGCTGCTCTGCTCCCACGAGAGCTGTGGCCGGTGCAGCAGCCGCTCTCCCCAGCAAGCAGCACAGCTGAGGCAGCGTCACCCCAGGGTCCCGCTGCGAGCAGGGTGTGGGGGGAGCTGGCTCCCGTGGCTCCCGTGGCTCCCGTGGCTCCCGTGGCTCCCGTGGCCACTCACTGTAGTGGCAGGACTCCTCGCAGAGCGGCGCCGAGTAGTCGGAGAAGGTGGCATTCCAGCGCAGCTCCCGTGACTTGGTGTCGTACATGGTGATGACGTACTCTGGGGAGGAGAGCGGGGCACCAGGTCACTGCCCAGCACCCCCTCCCTGGGACCAGACAGACGGACGGGGAGCCGGGCTGCCTTACGGGTACGGCCGATGTAGAGCAGGGGGCTTGACGGGCACACACCGTCCCAGGCCTCTGTTGAGAGAGTGGTCTGCTTCTCTCCTGACTTGGGGTCCACGATGAACCACGTGTCCTGCTTCTTCCCTGAGAACGAAAATACGTTTTCTGTGTCTCCGCAGTCCTGCTGCCTGGCCCCGAGAGCCGCTCGCCAGGCTTCCTCCTGTCCCCCCTCCACGGACACGTTCCCGGGAGGTCCCCGTGGGGGTCCCCCCCTCCTCCGCACACCCCGGGCCCGGCGCTGCGTACCGGTGTAGAGCACGCCGTCCGAACTGCGGCACGGCGAGGACTGGACCAGCTCCGGGATGGTGAACGGGAGCTTCTGCAACACAGACGGCAGCGTGGATGCGGGGCCATGGAAATGCCCCCCCCCAGCAGCAGCCTGCCCGCCCGCGGGAGCAGCCTGCTCCTCCTCGCCTGCCCTCACTGCTCATCCCCACAGCAGGACGGTGGTGGGGAAGGAAAAGGTCCCGGCTGTATTTGCCCCACACCCACCAGGATGACATTTTCCGGGTGCCAAGCACAAGCAGGAGCACCCGAAGGCCCCGGACTCGCCCCGTCCCGCAGGTCAGCCCGGGCCCCCAGGCCAGTGAACCCCCGGGGTGTGGGCAGGATGCTCACAGCCCCCACAGCCCCACTGACCATCAAGCCTTCTTTGTTTTTTCCTCCCAGGATATACAGGCTGCCATCATTGGGGTCTGGAAGGAATGCTGGTCTGGAAAGGAGGAGAGAGGAGGATGAAATGTGAGCTGCCCCCCACCCCAGACACACGCCAAGGGCTCACATTAAGCTGCACTGAAGAAACCTCCTCAGCAGTTTGCTCCGGGGTGATTCACTACGGGGCTTGACCTTTCCTGGCAACTTCCAGCCCTGGGTTTGGTGGGAGATGAACTCCCGCTCTGCCCAGCACCGTAACGCCACCCGGCCGCCTGCCAGCCCCAGGGGAGCTCTCGGCCGCCCTGCCTTCCCCCTGCACTTCCAGGTGTATTTTCCTCAATTTCCCTCCCATGCTTTTGCGCGTGGTGGTGCCGAGAGCTTCTCGTCTGCCAGCAGACAGGCTCCAGTTCAGCAGCAGGGAGCAGCCGTTCCCCACTGCCACGCACGAAGCGCTAGCACAAAGGGAAGGTTTAAGGCAATGCTACGGCGTGGGCCGGGAGGTTCCTTCCCCCGAGGTTCCCCTTCCTTGCTGTGAATCTGCTGGTTCACCAGGGCGGTCGTGCCCCTCGGAAAGGCTCCTGCCCCGCAGAGGGCCCTCTGCCCCGGCGGGGGACACTCACTCTGCCACATAAACCGGCACCTGCAGAATGGGATCTGAAAAAGAGAGCGAAACGCCGACGTCAGCAGCCTCTCCCTGCGAGCGGGGACAACGTGGCAGTGTTTACCAAGCGATGCCGTGCCCAAGCCGCAGCCTATTTGCATTTCAGACCCAGAATAGGCACCGCTGGCAGCGGGGGTCCGGCCCCCCCCCACGCACGGCCGTGCCTGGGGCTGGAGCTGCAGCTGGCAGCGTCCCTCGGGGCTGGGGGAATTGCCAGCCCAGAGCCAGGCTGGGGGGGTGCACCCCCAGAACCCGGCTAGCGACAAGCTCAGGGAGCCAGGCTGCGAGCGAGCCCCCCCCCCCTTCCCCGGGTTGCTACTCACCATCCTTCAGGGTCCACTTGATGTCTCCTGTGCTCTTACTCACTGCGTGAAGGTTTCCATCCAGAGTGGATACGAAGAGCAGCGTTTCTGGGACAGACACAGCACCGCCTTTGAGGCACTACGGACACAAACACCGTCCTTAGAGAGCAGGGACAGACTTGGGGACAAGCCCCCGCGGGCCGGGGGGGTCTGTCTGCCACAGCCCAGCAGCCCCCCCACACCCAGCACCCCGCAGCAGCAGACCCCAAGGTCCCTTCTCGTCCCCTCTGAGGCAAGACCAGGAGGGAAAATCATTTATTTCCTCAAGCCGGTGTATTAAATCTGCTCATTCCTCCAGCTCCACCCGCACAGGACACCTGTGGAACCGCACCTGCTAATGGCTGTTTGGAGGCGCTTTTCTATGTGTTTTATAAATCGGCAGCATTAAGCCCTGGCACTGAGGTTGCTGGGCTTGCAGTGAGCCCAGTGCTGTCCCCCCCCCGGCCCTGGATCCCGCGGCAGCAGGAGCTGCAGCCCGGCTGCTCCCAGCCGCAGCTCCCCGCTGCCTTTCCAGAGGTGACACAAACAGCCCGACGACCGGCTCCTTCCAGAAACAAACGAGTTGGGTGACTTTTCATGCCAGAAATGCAATTAATGCTCTCCCAAGCCTTTAAAGCTCCAGATGTCAGCTCCCCTGCCGTTGTAGTTGCCAATCCACGCTGGGAAGAGGAGCTGCTGCTTCCGTGTAGGGCGTCCGTAGAGCAAGCGCCAGCTCAGGCGCCGCGGGCTGGCGCACACGCCGGCCTCTCCCCGTCAGCAAACAGGGATCGGCGAAGGGCGCGGGGACCGGGCGGCTTCGGGCAGCGGCCGGGGAGCGGAGCAGCGACGGGCTCGCCACCGGCCGCCGTGCAGAAGCCGATCGAGCGAGCTGCTGCCCCGGGTCTCTCGTGCGGGGTGGCCCAAGGACCCCCGGGCCCGGCACCCCCTCGCCCGCTCCGTACCCGCTGCTGGGGGGGCTGAGATCCCGGCCTGAGTAAAGGGCGGGGACACCGGCCGACAGCCTGTGCCAACGCGGTGCCGTACGGGCGAGCACGTGCCCGGCCGCGGAGCAGAACCTGCTGCCGGTAACGGAGCCGCCACGGCCCCGCAGACGCCTTCACCCCCCACCCCCGGGACCGCTCCAGCTGCACCCGCGCAGACAGCGGCCCCGACGGCTGCCAGGCCGCCTGTTCTCCGGCTGTTCCTCCGGCCGGGAGCACACACACCGGCTCCCTCCCAACACTCCTCACATCAGCCCCTCTGCTTTGAGCCCAATTCTTTCATTTGCCCTCCTCCTTGCTTAAACCTTAAGTGAGGTCAGAGCAAGCTTCCCAGCTCTTGCTTTGTCCAGAGGACACGGTGGGGCTGGCAGAGGAGGATGACTGCTCCTCGCTGCTGCTTCTCCAGCCCCGTGAGGCCACCGTGCGAGGGACGGCCAGGCCAGCAGACACGGAGCTCTTGTGGTGTGGCCACCTGCACAAGGGAAACAACTGAACCCGCCGAGCCCTCCCAGCTGCCCGAGCTGCAGCAGGCTCTGAGCTCGCCAGCTCTGCTTTTCCCTCCCCCTGACGCTTTGCAGTTTCTTCCATCTCTTCTGCAATTGCTGGGTTTTTTTTCGGTGACAGGGCACTCGACCGAAGGCCAGGCTGCCCAGCTCGCTCTCCACGCGCCACCACGGGCAGAACTGGGAAGCCCAGGAGGGCGGCTGCTGTTCCCACGGGATGTGCTGCGGGATGTCTGCGCTTCCCCGAGGCTCCCACCCCGCCAGCCTGGTGCCCGCAGCGGTGCCGCCGGGGCCGGAGCTCAGCTGTGGGCTGGGGGCACGCGCAGTCCCCCCGTGACAGAGAGGGGTGGCCGGGCACAGACAGAAACACGGCACCAGCCTCCGCTGGTACCCATGTCTGCCACCACCACAACGTACATCCCCGCCAACGCCACCAACACACGCCCACGGGACCCCCCGCACCCCGACCCACCCACCCACGCCCATGGCCCCCCCGCACACGCAGGGGCTGTGCCTGCCTGCACACCCACTCGCCCCCCACGTGCCCGTGGGCTAGGGCGCTCGGACACGGGTGGAGTGGGTCACAGTGCCCACCCCCAACGCTGTCACACCCGGGGGGGACACGGACCCCCGCGCAGGACACACGCCCACGCACCCTCCCAGTCACGCACCGGTACCCGCGCTGGCACCACGCTCCCACCCGCGGGCTGTGGAGCGGCCGTACCTGTGCCGGGGGCGGCGGGAGCAGCAGCAGCAGCAGCGGCAGGAGCGGGAGCAGCCGCGGTTCCCGGAGCGGATCCCGGAGCGAATCCCGGCGCGGTTCCCGGAGCGGATCCCGGAGCGGTTCCCGAAGCGGATCCCGGAGCAGCCCCCCCCCGGCGCGGTTCCCGGAGCGGATCCCGGCGCGGTTCCCGGAGCGGATCCCGGAGCAGCCCCCCCCGGCGCGGTTCCCGGAGCGGATCCCGGAGCAGCCCCCCCCGGCGCGGTTCCCGGAGCGGATCCCGGCGCCCCCCGAGCAGCCCCCGGCGCAGCGGCGCGGCGGGGCCGCCCATGTCCCGGACATGCCGGGGCCGGGCCGGGCCGCGCTTATCGCCGCGCCGTGAGTCAGCGGGGCCGGGGCGGATCCGGGATGCGGCTTCCTGCCCCCCCCGCCGGCCCGGCCCCCCCCGGCCCCGCTCAGCCCCGGGGGCAGCGGGAGGCGGCAGCCGGGCCCCCCCCGGCGCTTTCCCGACCCCTTTGCGTGAGCACAAGGACCTGCAGCCCCGTGTTCCGCGTGTCCCTCCCCACTCCGCGGGCACCCCAGGGGTGTTCCTGGTCCCCCCCAGACCCCTGCCAGTAACCGTCAGCTTCGTTTAAAGAGCGAGCAGGAGCCTGCCCTGATTGCAGAGCTCCTCCCCAAAATCCCGAAGGGGTTGTCAGTGGGAGTCGCCCCCCCCCCCCCGAGACTGACTGGGGCACCCTGAGACATCGCACAGTGCAAGAACTCACCCAGGGGTACACGCCGGGGACTCTAGCAGAGATTTTGCACTTTATTTCAGTGATGACACTACTGAGCTATCTCAGAAGTTCGGACGGGGCAGCAAAGTGCCCCCCCCCCCCCCCCCCGTACCTGGGAGCTGGGCATGCTCAGCCTTTGGGCAGCTACAGCTTAAACCAAGCCTAAACCCTGGGCTTGGAGAGGGAGCTGCAGAACGGGCACAGCCTTGGGGTACGGAGCGGAGTCGGGCAGCCGGCCACCCCCATCCCCACCCCGGGAAGGGCTCCGAGGGCCTCAGACGTGAGGACGAGCAGGGGTTCCCAGGAATTTCTGCCCGCATCCATCTGTCTGCAAAGAAGCTAACTACAACCCATTTGCTAACAGCTGCTCATGCAGTACGAAGTAGCTGTTGAAACACTCGAACACAGAAATACTTAATTATCAAACTTTAATTCATAGGACTAATCTTACAGAATAAAACAATAGGATAACCAGTCAAGGTTACACTTAAAAAATCCAGCAGTGCAAATCTAAGACTAAATATTTGTCATCTCCCCCTCCCCTGAAATAGGCAATAGATTATTTAAAAATACCATTAATACATGGTACTTACATATTCCATTTAAAATAAATCTGCAGCGGACACAAATATCTAAGACTTTTTTTTTTAATATAAAACTAAAGAACAAATTGCTTAGAATATGGATAAGACATAGTGAACTTCCATGAGCCACAGAAAACGGATCCTTGGCTAGAAGGTGAAGTGGCCATATGCTTCGTACAAGACTTGCTACGGCTCTCCCGGCCCCCCTTCTCCCTCCCCCCGGTGACGAGGACATTAATTAACAAAGCCAGATGCCAACAACCTAACCCTAAGAGCTGGCAGAAGGCTGGGGTACGAAACTCGAAATGGAAACAGTTCACCGGAGAAATCAAGTCACAGGGGAAGAAAAAGTAAACAAAAGGAGGGAAGTTTGGAAGCCACGCTTGCCCGGCCGGGTTGGCCCGGCGAGCAGGCGGCGCGGGGGAACGCTGCCGGCGGGGAGAGCAGGGCCCCGAGCCGCCGCCACTGCGCGGCACCACCCCGGCAGCCACGCTGCGAGCGAGGGGCTTCTCTCTGGCCCCTCCAGCACGAAGCAGCAGCGGGCACCGGCCGCGCCGAGCGGGAAGGTTAGCTGGTCATGTGCGTATTGTGCGTTAGCGGTTGCTTATCTAGGTCTTTGAATTCAGATCACTTTTTTCTCCTCCATCATCATAGCGTCCTCATTTTAGTCACACGCTTCTCAAACAGCGGAGATGAATGATTTACTTTAATCTTAAACTCGACATGAAAATCTCGCGAGCGATACAAGATCTCCGTGCAGGACAGTCTCCGTTCAAACCCAAGCAAGGCTGAGCGATGTACTTTTGCATTCCCAGTGCAGCACTAATCCTACAGCTGTGTAGGCGTGGGACGCACAGACAGAGCGGGAGGGAATACTAAACTCGGGAGGAGGAGAGCAGAAGGGACGCACAGGACGGCGCCCGGGGGAGCTGCCCCCTCAGCGCCACCGAAGGGCCCGGGGTGCAGCAGGACCCCCCCGGCCGCGCCCCGTGGAAACCTGCGCTGGCATTACGGGTGCTCCAACCCCAGGCAGCGAGGCCGGCCAGGCGCCCCGTACAACTCCACAAGGGCTTGCACCCCAAAACGCTCGCAGGGAATTGCACGTATGTGCAACGGGGATCTGACCTCCTGCCAACAGACACTGTGAAACTGCAATTTAACTGAAATGAACCTCTGCGCGAGAATCGCCAGGTGTTACCACAAACGTCCTACGGGAGGTCACGCGTTGGATCTCAAAGCAACCTACCAGCCAGCTCGAGCCACTGATTGCATTTGCACTTTACTCACAACGCTTGTGTCTCGCCGAGCGCCAAGTGCTGCGTTCCTGCACAGGACCGTTTGTTACGCTGCATCGGCCCTGGAGATGATCACAGCTACCAGCGAGTAAAATCCAAAGCCAAGAGAGAGGTGAGCAAACGGCTCCCCAGTGAGGCAAGCCGTGACAGTCCCGAACTAGAGAGATGGTGTTTGCTTAGCTGTTAATGATCATTAGTTAATGTCAGTAATTGCCTTGGAAAAAATCAGCATATAGCAGAAGACAAAGCTCCACATCATTCCAAAAGAGGAAGGACCTTAAAAGCAGTGCTGCTAAGTTCAATTGGAATATTAATTTCAAAGAACTCCCAGGAAACCTACTACATGAAGCCAACAAACACCAATTAAAGCATTTTATACAAATATCACTTTCCTGTATTTTAATTCAAACTTTGCGCGTAGAACAAAAAAGTAAGACAATTTCCATTTTCACTTAAATCCAACTTGAAAAGAAGCACCTAAAGAGGATCACATTTTCTCAGTTGAGAGTATTTTCTTCTCTGTGTTTAAAACTGCTTTGTAACCAACGGTTTTTATGTTCAGTCTGACTGATTGCACCAGGCACAGGCTGCAGAGTCCTCGTGCCCTTGGGAAAGGAGCAGAGAGGACCGTTAACCGCGGCCCCGTTCCCCGTGGCCAGGACCGGCCCCCCGGCACGCCGGCGGCACCGCGTGCTCACCCGCTCGCCCA